TAACAGATGTCAGACTGGCTGGCGGAGCTGCATTGAGGACCTCTGCCACGACTTCTTGGTGTTCGCCCTCGAGTTCCTCCTTTAGGACACTCCCGGGCCCAGTGGCCAGAGCGTCCACACTTGAAGCAACTTTTACTGCTCATGGGTACGGTGAGATCTTCCAGTGAGCAGGCCCACACACCGCTGCCACGGATCCCCGAGGCTACCCCGCTAGGATGGCTTAGATACAAATGGCGGTTTTTCCTAGCTGCCTTCTGTGACGTTGCATGAGCTTTGCACACGGCCTCAGTGGCCTGGCGTCACAGGTTTTTTTGATGCGCGTGTGTGCATTTAGTTTGGTTTAGTTTTCGTTTTCCCAGACATCTTGACATCATGTCACCACCTATTCTAGCTTGGTCTTGAACTCAAGATCCTTTTGCCTGGGCCTCATGAGCGCTGGGACTATAGATATGTACCACTTACTCCTCGAGTCTATTTTTTGTTGGTTTTCAACACTTAGGTTATTAAATTTGACTTTGAATCCCTTTATGTTCAGGAATTATGACCTATAGGATATTTCATAATTCAGTTATTCTCTCTAAATGTGGTGGCACAACCCTATAATCCCAGGCTCAGGAGGCCTGCACAACATTGTAAGTTGGGTACATAACAAGAAAATTTAATTACTTAATAGATCACAAAGAAAGCCCTTTCCATACTTTCTATGTTATTTTAATTAATTAATTATTATGAGGCAGTGTCTTGCTGTGTAGCCATGGATTACCTGGAATTCACTATTTACGATAAACTGGCCTCAAACTTTCAGGAACTCTCCTGCCTTAGCCTCCTGAGTACCGGGTTTACTGGTGTATGCCATATCCAGCTTTGATAACTAGTGTTTGTTTTTAAATAAAATATGTTTATAAAATATTATTAATGTATTATAAAATATTATTAATAGGTCCACACTAGTGGAAGCTCATGAACTGTGGACTGGTGGCTGTGGAGCCCCCATGGGACTAGAATAGGCCCTCTGGATACAGAAGACGGTTGTTTGGCTTGAACTATTGGGGGGCACCCAGGCAGGGGGATCGGGATCTGTCCCTGGTGCATGGGCAGGCTTCTGGAATCTGGTGCCTGTGGTGTGACACCTTGCACAGCCTTGGTGCAGTGGGAAGGGGCTTAGACCTACCTAGGCTCAGTGTGCTGGGCTCTGCTGACTCCCCATGGAAGACCTCGCTTTGGGGAATGTGGGGATGTGGGGTGGCTTGGGAAAGAGGGCTGGGGGTGGGAGGAGGGAGGAGGTGAGATCTGTGGGTGGTATGTGGAGTGAATAGAAAATTTCTTAATAAGAAAAATGAAAAAATAATAATAGGTCCACAAGAGCTGGCTATATAGCTCAGTGATACACTACCTGCCTAGCACATACAGAGCTTACATTTCATCTCCAGTACTGGAAACAACAAATCAGATAGATATGTATTATTTATTTATTTATTTATTTATTTATTTATTTATTTATTTATTTATTTATGGAGACAGAGTTTCTCTGTGAAACAGCCCTGGCTGTCCTGGAACTCACTCTGCAGACCAGGCTGGCCTCAAACTCACAGAGATCCACCTGCCTCTGCCTCCCGAGTGAGTGCTGGGATTAAAGTCATGCACCACTACCACCAGGCTTTGGTTTTGTTTTTCAAGACAGGGTTTCTCTGTATAACCCTGGCTGTCCTGAAACTAACTCTGTACACCAGGCTGGCCTTGAACTCACAGAGATCTTCTTGCCTCTGCTTCCAGAGACCTGGGATTAAAAATCTACAGTGAAATTTGCTCACAGTTTAACACATTTTATTACTGCAAACTTAACTTTCCATTTTTGTGGTAATTGTGGGGCGGGGGGGGGGGGGGGGGGAGGTTCAAGTAGCCCAGCTTGCCTTGAAGTAACTCAGAATGAACTTCTGATCCACATGCCTCTACCTCCAAAGCACTAGGATTACACAAGCAGCCTGCCATTCCTGACTTGTAATCTTCACTTTTAACATAAAAGCATTATTTATGTTATTAAAGGACAAAATTGAAGCATTCAATGTAAACACAATGTTTTTGCTTGGAAAATAAATGCAATTAAAATGAGTTGGCTATACAGCTGACCTGTATAGTACTTGCTTAAGCTGTAGGTCTGATCCCAATCAAAACAAAATGTTTGCCTGGCAGTGGTGGCACTCAAGCACTCAGGAGGCAGAACCAGGAAGATCTTTGTGAGTTCGAAGCCAGCCTAGTCTACAGAGCGAGATTCAGGAAAGGTGCAAAGCTACACAGAGAAACCCTGTCTTGAAAAACAAAACAAAACAAAAAAATGTTTATAAATACATTCAAACATGAAATTTATTTTGTTTTTTTGAAGGGTCTCATGTAGCTGAAGATGGCGTTCAATTTTATCCTCCTGGCACTGCCTCTCAGTACTGGGATTATAGGCATGTGATACCACACACACCTTTACTTTTAACGTGGGTGTGTGATGTTGTAGGTCTAACTCTGGCTCTTATACATATTAGGAAAGCACTCTACCACTGGGCTATATCCAGCCCTTATGTTCTCTCTTTTCTTTATTTTAATGGGTTTATTTATTTATTAATTTATTATGTATACAGAAGAGGGCGCCAGATCTCACTACAGATGGTTGTGAGCCACCGTGTGGTTGCTGGGAATTGAACTCAGGACCTCTGGAAGAGCAGTCAGTGCTCTTAACCTCTGAACCATCTCTCCAGCCCACTTTTAATGGAGTTTTACTAGATTGTGTGGCTAGGGCTAGTTTCAAATGATCTTTCTGCCCTCTTGGTTTTCTTTATTTTATGTATGTATAGATGTATGGATGCATGCATGTATGTGTAAGAAACAATATCTGATGGTTCATTTTCAAAATAACACTCTAAGTCAGTCAGTTTAGGTGGAACTAGAAAGAAAGAGGAAACAATAGGCCCCTAGGGGTTGGAGCCTGCTAAATCAGCTACCCTCCCCCCACTCCCCGATTTCTGCTGGTCTAGCACCCCATCCCCAACTAAGTGATTAGAATGGAAATTACTAACAGCCAAGCTTGCCTGCAAGGCCTCACAACTGATGAAAGTTTAAAATAACTAGGGTGTAAAGCAGAGATGAATCTATTCATGTTTTTTGTTGAGAAAAAGACCATTTAAGCATCAAGCACTGGTGGCCCAGCCTTTAATGCCAGCACTACAGATGTGTGCCACAATGCAGGTTTAAATAGTGTTGAATCTGAAGCCAGGGCTTTGTCTAGGCTAGGCAAATACTCTACCAACTGAGATACATCCTCAGCCCTAAAATACAATTCTTGATACCCCTTATAATTAAAAATCTCAGAGAAATTAAATTATAAGAAAGAAATATCTTGGAACTTTAGAGATGATTTTTAACATTTCTAATTGTGTTAGCAATTTGTCGGATGTAAAAATATGTTGTTTCAGGGCTAGAGACTTGGCTCAGCGGTTCAGAGCATTGCCTGCTCTTCAAGAAGACCCAGGTTCAATTCCCAGCATCCACATGTCAGCTCACATTTGTCTGTAACTCCAATTCCAGGGCTTCTGACACCCTTGCACAGACATACATGCAGGCAAAACACCAATGAACATTAAATAAAAATAAATAAAAAATTGTTTATCCTAATGGTAATCTAGAAGAATGTTCTTAAATGTAATCTTCAGACAGAACTAAGCTAGTTTTACAGAAAAGTATTAGGTCGAGCTTTGTAACTACAATCCGTTTTAATTCTGTATGAGTACAACTTTTGTTCTGAGACGCTAACATTTTCATAGTGGACTCCAGGTGCACTGAGCTTAAAGGCCTTTTATAGTGTTTAAATTTGGCAAAAAAAAAAAAAAAAAAAAAAAAGAGCTTTTTCATCACAGTCTTCTCCCCCTTAGAGAAAAAGTTCTTGCAGAAATGAGGGAGGGAATTGGCAAAGTTGGAATGTCTTACTGAAAAGGAGTGACTAGAGCTAAAAACATCGAGGTCCTTATGCATGTTACGCATCTGTCCACTAGGTGACGCAATATATTTTATGGCCCTGCCTTCTGCTTCCATTCCGCTCATGCTGTTTGTTTCAGGTATCAGCATGCAACTGTTTTTCTTCTCCTCCCCTTCCTCTCTCATTTTTGCTTGTGTGCTCCTGGTGCTCTCCATGAAAATGCACACTGTAATGAAGTGCTGAATAGACAGGCGCCGGTCAGATTGCACTTTTTCTAGTCTCTCAAGATCTAGGAATGCATAAGAAAAGGGGTGTGTGTGTGTTAAAGAGACCCTTAAAAACTAAGACTCCCCACAAGAAACAGCATCCTGGGAGTGAAAAGAGCCTGCCCCAAGAGCCCTAATTCCAGGTATCAGGAAAAGATTTATCCCAGTTTCTGTAACTTGGGCCCACATCTAAATCTCTATACATCTATTTCCCCCTTTTTGGAGGGGTGGGAGCTTTTGTTTGTTTGTTTGTTTGTTTCTCTCCAGGAACTTTTGTGGCCCAGACTGGCCTAGAATCTACTATGTAGGTGAGGTTGAACTCTTCATCTTCCTACCTACTTCTCTTAAATGCTGGAATTACAGGCACTCATCGTGGTCAGTTTTTTGTTTGTTTTTGTTTGTTTGTTTTGTTTTTTCCCAAAACAGTTAGAATATTAGGCACAACAGGAAATACTCAGGGGTTTTGCAGAGCTCCAGAGTCGCAGAGAAGGCCAAGAAATGGAGGATAAGTCAGGAAGGGAATAAAAAGTTGGGAGACTTGACAATGGAATGGTAAATTAGAAACGATGGGGGAGATATTGACGACAGAAGATCGAGCTGAGGAAGGGATGGGCGGTAGGCGCCACTGTGAGCAGAGAGGTGGGAAAAGCAGGGTGGGCTAGGGACCTGGGTACCGGGCAAGCAGGGAAGGCTCGGTGGGCTGTTGTAGGTCGTAAAGGGGCGCTCCGAGGCAAGGGGGCAGGGGGTGGGGGTGGAGCGGAGCGCATGCGTCAGAGCGCACTGCAGCGCTCCTTGGAGAGGCTGTGGGCTTTGGGCTTCAGCGCAGAAGCTGCGAGTGTAGCAGGTTTCGTACCTGGTGTTCCTTGCCGTTAATTCAGGACTGCTGCCACCAGGCACGTCCCTGGGTCCCGCCGCTCCCGCCGCACTCTCGGCACTGCTAGCAGTAAGAAATTTTGCTACGACACTCGCTTCAGCAAGAGGTAAAGGAACGACGAGGGGCAAAAATATAACATGGAGGGCGGCAGAGGGAACGTGGGTCAGGAAAATCCTTAATTTGTGCGTTCTCCCCTTTGACGGGAGGGAAAACTGGAGGTCAATGGAGCCCTAGCCCTCCAAAAGGATGTTGAGCATTTACTTATGAAAGAGGTATTTTGACTCTCCTCTAAGTAGGTTTGAGGCACCTGAGCATCACTCCTTTCCTTAACATCCCTGTTGAAAACAAAACAAAAAACTTTCGAGTTCTTCATTTGTTGCGAGTGTATCAAAAGGGTGAGGCTTTATCTGTTTTGTTGTTGTTGTTGTTGTTTTGTTTTGGTTTAGTTTGGTTTGGTTTTTGTCGTCTTATTGAGACTGACGGATGGGGGCCTCGAACTCGCGACCGGCTAAAACGGGGATTACGAGCGTAAAATGCCACGCTCGGCTCTGATTCAGTGGTTTAGCATAAGAAGTTTCCTTGCCTTTGTTCAGGTTGGAGGGTTTTTACTACAGCAAGGAAATTCGTGGACAGGGTAGCCTCTCCCTTAGGATGCTGGCGGATTGCATCTAGATTTGGGATATGCTTTAT